GGAGGAGGGGGAGGGGAGGAGGAGGAGGAGGAGGATCCGAGTTACTTCTAACTATCCACAAATCAAGATAATATTGGCCAAAAATCGACACTAGGGTCAAATTGGTAGATTGTCTGCTGATGCTATATTCTTTAAGTATAACATGCCTTTTATTATTTCAAACATATAAATTGTTAAAATTTTACCTAAAAGCGTGATGTATCTATTTCCATAAGGGTTGAATCCGAGAAGTAACAGATTTTGTCAGCACACTTCACAAATTATTATGATCAAAATTATGTTCTTTTTCTTTTAACTCAACCTAAGCTGAACTTTAGCTCAAATCTTTTATGTATTCATCTTCTCTTTCAGGCTGTTTACCATCATCAGTTTGAACTTGTCTCTCCCTCTGTTTCTATCATCTGTTTCTGTCTGTCGTCTTTTTCTGTCTATCATCTGTGTTTGTCTGTTTCTGTCTATCGCGCTTTTCTCCTGCCCTAAATGACTGTGATGGCGACAATGTTTTTATCTTCTATACTGAAACTCAGCAAAACTTCAGCTCAAATCTTTTCTGCATCCATCCACTGTTTCAGACTTTCAAATGCCATCCTTTAAAGCTTGTCTTTCCCTCTGTTTTTGTCTATTTTGCGGTTTCCATGCTCAAAATGACTCACAACTAGTGGTTGGCAAGTGCTTTGGTGTGGTTTGCTCCTTCTTTCCTATCAAACATCTATCGTCCTGATCTCCCCTCCTTCTTTTTTGTGTTTGTTATTCTCTTGTAACACCTCTAATCTTCGGCACTTATATGACCTTATTGTGATGCAAGTGCCGTAAAACTCTTACTAAAACAAAACAAAAATGACTCACCATATTAATGTTCTTCTCTCTACACAAACTAAGCTCAAGTTAAGTTCCAACATTTTACTTCTCTGTGTCCCTCCATTCTTCCAGACTTCTGTCCATCATCCGGTCAAGCCTCCAGAACTTCCAGAAGGCCATCAAAGGCCTGGTGGTGATGTCAGCTGACCTTGAAGCTATGGCGGGGAGCCTCATGATCGGCCAGAAGCCGGCCATGTGGGCCAAACGCTCCTACCCGTCTCTGAAACCACTCGGCAGCTACATCAGCGATTTCCTTGAGAGACTCAAGTTCCTTCAGGTTTGACAGACTGTAGGTGTTTTTCTCGTGCCCCAGATAGACACTGGTCTTTGCATAGGTTAAACGCCCCTTTCAGAACCGTTAAGGTTATTTAAGAGGCACAACCTCTGAATTTATCTTCATCAGTCTCCAAGAGGACTGAGCCAAATAGGTGGAGAGCCTTAGCCCTGTCCATACGCCCCAGGGTTGTATTGTTCACATTTTTAGAATACTTCTAGTGGGAAGATCTCTTTGAAACTTTCAGTATTTCCCAAAACATCATTTTGACAGACTGCTATGCAAAGCGTACGGATCGGATTAACGAGTAAATTTCCTCTTTGGAAAGTGGTGGCACAGAGTTCCCCACGTCTTATGGATACGATAGTAAAACACGACATACGGATAGGGTTAAGAGGTGGCACAGAGTTCCCCACGTCGTATGGATAAAATAGTACAGGCCACTGCTGGTATGTCCTATTTCTTTTCTTTCCCTTTATTCTCACTGTGCATCTTGCTCATGTGGGTGGTTGGCGGGGGCTCTGTTATGGTTTGCTCCTTCTTTCCTATCAAACACCTATCGTCTTTATCTCTCCTCCTTCTTTTTTATGTATGTTACTCTCTTGTAACACCTCTAATCTTCGGCACTTATATGACCTTATTGTGTTGCAAGTGCCGTAAAACACTTACTAAAACTTTTTTTAAAAGGTGGGTGGAGGGCACCTATTGTAGCTTCTACCTCTTTTCTTTCCCTGTGTTCTTTTTGTTTGTCTTGCTCTTTCCCTGCACGTGGGTGGTTGGCGGGTGCCCTGGTGTGGTTTGCTTCTTCTTTCCTATCAAACATCTATCGTCCTTATCTCCCCTCCTTCTTTTTTATGTTTGTTACTCTCTTGTAACACCTCTAATCTTCTGGCGCTCATATGACCTTATGCAGTTGCGAGCGCCGTAAAAGCTCTACTAAAACAAACATTTCCCTGCACTAAGGGACAACTATGTGTGCAATTGTTTCAATGCGCTCTTTAAAACGAACATAATTTTGACTGATCACAATGCGTCAATGTTTCTCCTTTTATTCTCTTATCGCCCCTCCAGAAATGGTTTGATGAAGGCAAACCTGAAGACTTTTGGGTGTCTGGGTTTTTCTTCACCCAAGCCTTCCTCACTGGAGTGATGCAAAACTACGCCCGTCGATACACCATCCCCATCGACAAACTGGCTTTTGACTTCCAGGTGAGAGGAGGTTCTCGAGCTTTTTGTTATCCTCTTCTTTTTCTCTTCTGTTTTTAGCTTTATCCCCCAACTTCCTCATCTTCTAACTCTGTGTTCCCTAACTTTATCTTCCATGAACCCCCTGTGGGTGTCACAGGTCTCCACAAACCCTCAACTTTTTGGAATTAAACTATGGTATGCAAAACAGTGCTTCGTAAAAGTTCTTAGTGTAATATTGTAATGATAAAAACAGATGGACAAATGTATCTATTACAAAAATTAAATTACAGTCAAACCTGCTCTAAAGGCCACCTGAATAAGACGATCACCTCTACAAACGGCCACTTCCCATAACTCCTCTTGCAGTTTTTTTCCCATCAATATGGCACAATGTAAGACAGCCACCTGTTTAAGATGGCCACAGTTACACACAACAATGAATGGTTGTCTTAGACCATTTTACTGTATTTGAATGATATTGGTGGTAGCCATGAAAGAATCCTTTACAATCATTGACTTTTTGTGTTCTGAAAACGTCAAACAGCTGCTCGCGCAAGACCGCATGGAGAAGGCACCAGACGACGGGGCGTATGTCTACGGACTTTTCCTGGATGGTGCACGCTGGGATAGAGAGAAGTGAGTTGTCTCGTTGAGGACGCGCGTTCTCTCTGGTCGATTTACACTGCGCATTCTGGGTAGTTGACAGCGCTTGAAAATGTGTGTTTCGAGGCATTTCAAATCACAGTAGAATTGTAAATGGGCTGACCTAACAGTGTGATGCTCATAACTGTGCCTGAACTACAACAGACAACAGGGGACTGCTGCTTTTTCTTTCCTAATCCTTACTATTGTCATTTTCCTCTACTTCTTTTGTATGTTTGTCACACTCTTGTGACCTGCTATTTCCGGGGTGCCTTGATAGTCGAAGCAGACTTTGTGCTGTTAAGGCTAGAGAGGTGAGCAGAGTAAGTCTGATTCCCTGTAAAGACTTCTTTGTTGACATCCACCCCTTAGCGCTCATATGACCTTATGCAGTTGCGAGTGCCGTAAAACCTCTACTAAAACAAAATAAACAAAGGACTTCAAATTTTAAAAAAGAAGCATGACTTGGATATTCATACACATTTTTCTCTTCTGTTTTTTTTAAAATCTGAATCTTAAAAAGTCAGGCAACAGCATACATGCAATGAGATAAGCAAATTTGTGTGTTTATGGTTTGTGTATTTGTGTATGATGGTTCGGAATGTGCGCCGATATTGCCATTGAGTTGAAATATGAAGGAATACACAGCACAGAACAACCCCTTCTTTTGTTCCCTTCATCACTCTATTATGTTCCACACATCCCCCCCCTCTCTCTCT